TGGCAGGGAGAACTGCCTTTTGCCTTCCTTGGGCAGGTCTGTCTCGGACCCTTGCAGCTTGCGACGATTGGCTTGCTCTTCCAGGGCGCATACCGCCGACCCTTTAAGCGCGGATGCAAAACACTCCTGCGAGGTTTTTTGCTCACCTCGGATCATGCCCAGTCCATTCGGGGTTGAGTACCTCAAGACTTGATGCAATGTTGAGGGGACAACCCGAAATGAGTGGATAATGGGTCTCCAAAAAATGGCGTTGTAGGTCGATCTGCCGTCGATTACCACGAACTCGGCCATCTGCGTTACTTGGGTAGCATCTTGCCCGATCGTTACCAGCAGGTCAAGGCACCCTTCTGGGGAGACCGATTCTCTAGAGAATCCAACCAAGGGTGTTGGACTCTTCTTCAATTGTGACCTGGTCCATCCCAATGCTAGATATGTTGGGAGAGACAAGATGTTGGCAGATGCACCTCCATCAACCAATACTCTTCGGACCAGGACGTGATCAATGAGAGGGGCGATCACAAACGCGTCATTATGGGGCAAATGGATCCCCTCCAGATCGGCATCGCCGAAAGTGATGGAGCAAGTGGGCTTCTGCTCCCTGATGATGCATACCTCGCGCCTGGCCTCGCGAGCTAGCTCCTTCCTCTTGTTTCCGGACTGGCCCCCTCTCGGACCTCCGAAAATAGTGTTGATGACTGCATGTCGATCATCCCGACGAGGCGGCGTTCTTGAACGCTTCCTCTCTTCCTTTTTTTTGATCGAGTTAGACCTTGGTTTGCCCATGAACTTTTTAAAGTAGCCATCTTGAATGAGGTCTTCAATCCGGCGCTTCAATTCCCAGCAACTTGTCGTATTATGGCCGTGATCGCGATGAAAACGGCAGTACTTATCTTGTTGCGCTTCTCCGGGTCTCCTTGGAGCTTTTCAGGTCGCTTGAGGAGCTTTTCCATCCCACTTTCCTCGATATTCGTGAGTATCTCGGAGATGGGGATGGTGGTTAGAGTATACCGTTCATAAGGTCGGCTCCGACTGGGGCCGCTCTCCGACCTACGGTACTCTGTTCTACTGGCGGAAGATGAAGGATCCCATATCTCTAGACTTGGAATCAGCCTTCCTCCTCTCTTGGCTCAACTTCTTCTGGTCGATCTGCTTCTCAGGTCGGCCAGTTTTGGTTCGGAGGAGATCTTGCCCATCAATGACCTTCTTTGCCTTCTGCAGGACTTCGGCGAAGGTGGCTGGAGCCTCCTCTCCAAGTTTTACTGTTAAGGTCTCATCGGCCAGGCCGGTGAGGAAGTAGCACATGGCCGAATCATCGGAGCAGTGCGCGACCTTCAACTGCTCCTCCTGGAACCTCGTGACATACTCCCTCAGCGTCTCTCCCTCCTTCTGCCTGATAGTAGCGAGATGAGTCGCTGTATTTCTGTCATAATGCCGAGAAGAGAACTGACTGATGAACTCCTTTCTCAGTTGAGAGTAGGTCGAGATCGACCTAGCCGGCAGTCTTTGATACCACAGGCGTGCGCTACCGGTGAGCGCGATCTGGAAGGCGCGGCACTTGATTGCATCTGTTGCCGCTTGAAAGTCCATGAGGCCTTCGAAGACCTCAACATAGTCTTTAGGGTCCTTAGACCCATCATAAGGCTTCATCGTGGGAGTTTTGAACTTCGGAGGGATTGGAGCCTCCAGGATGTCCGGGGTGAATGGYRATTCTCCCAAGTCRYCATCGTCGAACGAACATTCTTTCTTCYCGCACYTGGCCTTAAGCGYCTCGACCTGCTCATCGARCTTGTGCTTCATCAGGTCGAACTCTTCTCTAGTKATCACAGCTTCTGGYRYYAGAGGCTTGTATTTTGACTGAGCCTTTAGGTTCGAGTTCGAGAACTCTCGGGAGTAGGAAGGAGAGTCTTCTGGCT